GCTTTCTTTATACAAATAAAAATAATTTTATGTACCGTGAAACACAGCTTTCCAGTTTTAAATACTGCCCTTGGAAAAGAGTAAGTATTTGTGGAGGGACAGCTCTTCTGGTCTCTGCAGCCTTCTACTGCAGAGCACTCTGCTAACTCAGCAACGCACCCACTTAAGAGAACGGCCAACCATGTAATGCTAGCTTCTCCAGATTTTTTCTCTCTAAATAAACCACTGATTTATGGTACTTCATTATAGCTCACATTTAAAAAAAAAAAGTTTAATTAAATGCCCAATTCCAAGTATGTTTGGTCACAAGTAACTCCCATAGTTCTCACTGAGATAGTAAACCTGTGCCTGGGCTGAACCACATCAGACTGAAGGTAGGGGGCCCAAATGGCCAATTCTTCTTCAGTACAAAAAATTCTGCCCACAGAAATATGGCAAGCAAAGTGGTTCTAGCCAGGCTTGTCACCAACAAGTTCCTTTTCTATGTACAGGGACTTTTTAAATAAAAGGGAAGAACATATAATTATGTGAGTCCCAGACAACTGTTTGCCATCTCAGCAAAGGCCACTGTTCACCAGGATTTACTTGCAAGCAAGTGAGTACAGGATCCCTTCTTTAAGGGCAGGTATGCAAATCATTAGACAAAACAGTAGGATATATATTTGATTATTGAAGTGGCATTTTTAGAAACTTACTCAATTAACGGTGCTCCATAAAGAACAATGATTCCATGAAATAAGATACAAGACGCAAAGTAGTACACACAGCATCTTATAAACTTTGCCACCTTTTAAACAGAGAAAAATTTACATTAAGAACAGAGGAAAAACCCTGTGACATGATTAGTTTTAAATATATATTTTTCTACTAACATTCCACTATGTGGATGCTGGCAAGAATGAACCCAAGGACAGCACAGATGAGTATTATCCTTGGATTTATACCCCCGCCCTTCACTCGAAGTCTCAGAGCAGCTTACAATCTCCTTCCTTTCCTCTCCCCACAACAGACACCCTGTGAGGCAGGTGGGGCTGAGAGAGCTGAGAGAACAGCTCTGAGAGAACTGTGACTGACCCAAGGTCACCCAGATGGTTGCATGTGAAGGAGTGGGGAATCAAATCCGGTTCTCCAGATTAGAGGCTGCTGCTCTCTTAACCACTACACCAAACTGGCTCTCAGTTGGAGCCAACTGAGTAGCTCAAGAGTGTATACTGGCATAAGAACATAAGAACATAAGAGATGCCAATGTGGGATCAAGCCAAAGGCCCATCCAGTCCAACACTCTGTATCACACAGCGGCCAGAACTACCAGTGCCATCAGGAGGTCCACCAGTGGGGCATAACCATGCACGTTATTGTAATATGGGGCATGATGCAGTCAGAGCTGACCACTTTTAAAGTTCCATAGGTTTCATCTGGAGAAATTTAAGCATGTTCATACGCTTCCCACAAGTGAATAAAACTTTATTCTTGATTATGTCGAGATGTTTTATAACAAGGGGGAGGGAACAACCAAGCTAAGGGCACTGCTTCTTAAACAGCTAAACCAGTCTTCTAGAGCTGGAATGCTATGTTAATCGTTTCTAAGATGACAAACAAGTTGAGTATTATTTGCGGGGCTCAGATATGATGTTTCCCAGCCCCAAACCTTAAGGTCCTTTTGAGACTGTGAGTGGAAGAAATCAAACATGTGAACTTATGAAAGCAAAGCTCGCATTGTTGAATGTCAGCCCCTGCAACCTACTCCAGAGAGCAATGACATTGACTACTATTCATCTGTTTTCATTTCAAGAAAGAAAAATCCTAGTCTTTATATGACAAAAATTCCAAGGGAAAGTATGATTGCATAGGGTAGTAGTTAAGAGGATAAGCCCAGAAATCTCCAACTGAAATCTGATCTCAACAGTGAGCTCATTAGAAAACAGAAGACAAGCCTTGCCAACCCATCTGGTCTATCTTACATAAGTATTACTAAAATAACTTACATAATATACTTTAAACACTCTTTAAAAGACTTGAGATGCTCCAAAGAACATCATCACTGTCTCTAAAGAACAAAGCAGCTAGCCCCTGCGTGGATGACAGGAGCCGATCCAGGAGCCAATCCTCATCAGGAAACTCCCCAGCTATCTCAAAAATATGACATTGAAAATGAGCCAAAAGCCCCCCCCCCAAAAAAAATCCAGCCCAATAAGGTCTGAGTATGTCCTTGGCATACATAATATTGAGAACATCAAAAGTCAGTTACAGGGAAAACATAAGAAAAAGGGAGTTTATAAAATAAAATCCTGGAGAGAGACCTCTGGGGTTGTTGCTTCCCCCGCCCCCCCCAAAAAAGTATAACTGTCCCTGGCATTCACTGCAGGCCCCAAGCTTGTTCCTTCTCATAGCAAAAGCAAGCCGCTCATGCTGATCAACAAGACTGCAAAACAGGGCCAAGAGGATTTCTGAATACCTAGGAGAATCCCAAGTAAGCAGAAAAATACTGCCCCCCTCCACGCAAAAGAGATGGTCAGAATGACTGTACACATATGCTTTCCTCTGCAGTCACTGAACTTAGGTAAAATCCAGACACAAACCTTCAAAGGACAGGTGGCCATTATACTGAAGGGCAACTGCTTACTTCCCCTCAGCCTAGGGCCTAACAGAAGGAAGAGAAATTGGGTTGAAGGATATACCTCCTAACCCCAATTTTACCCAGAGCTCTCCTTTACATACCCATGCTGCTAAAGGAAGACTTAGGGCAGCCAGCCCGGAACCTGATTGCTGTGTAGTTCTGCTTTGGGATAGCTGGACAACCAAACAGTAGTGCTATAGCTTTGGAAATATACAAAACTCATACTTGAAGCTACCAGTGAGCCCCCCAAAAATAGCTTAGCCATCCGTGCTTCAATTCTCCTGTTTCAACTGCATGAAGTGCACAACAAGATGCTAATAGTAGTACTAGACTTTCAGCTGGGTAATACCCCATAACATTTCGTTCTATAACAAGTACATGGATACTTATTAGTATCCATATCATACTAAGAATTACATTAAAACAGGATTCAGTCTTACCTTGTGGACAACAGAGCTTCTTTTCATAGATGAATTTGGTTTAAGGGTAAGATACAAAGTTATGTTGACCGTACCAACACTTGCTGAACAGATGCACAACCATATCAGATGTGTTCCCAAGACTGAGAAGTTCTTCAAAAACAGTGAGGGAATGAGAGTTGTTAAAATAATGGAAGCTATACAGATAGCATTAGCAGAAAGCAGTCTCTTTATTTCTATATGTCTCATGGTGTTCTTTCTTCAGCTTTCACCTGTTGAGAAGCAAATTAATAATGTACCAACACATACTGAAGAGCAATACTCCTATAAAACATTCTAACACAACTCTAGCAAAATTCCGAACAATGACAGTATCTATATATCTAATACCGAAAGGCGCCCCCTGCGTGCGGATACCTAAATCCGCACATCGGGGAAAAAAGGGGGGGGAAGCCAGTGTACAATGCAAGAAACAAAAAAGAACACCACTGGCAAAAAATAACTCACAAGCAAATAAGCAAGTATATAATGATCAAATAAGCATAACAGCAAGTATAATGTAAATTAAATAAGCATAACAACGTATGATATAAATCAATTGGGCAAAGTGCAATAATAAATCATAATAGAAACAGTCACAGTCTTCTCCAGCATAGAGTCCAAATTGGAGTGCCAATCATCAAATTTTCTGAGCCATAAAAAGCCGACGCGTAATCCTCCTTGAATTGACCATTCTGGCTTAGTATATGCCAGCTTTTGAGACTGGGTCCCATTACAGCCATATTTGAATAAGAATAATTCGAAACGCGGCTTCAGGCATCCGGATTACCCGTCGGCTTTTGATGGCTCAGAGGCCTTTGATGGCTCAGAAAATTTCATGATTGGCACGCCAATTTGGACTTTGATATTGCCTCTATGCTGAAAAAGACTGTGACTGTTTCTATTATGAATTATCATTGCACTTTGGCAGATTGATTTATATCATACTTGTTGTTACGCTTATTTGATTTACATTTTGCTTGCTGTTATGCTTATTTGATCATTATATACTTACTTATTTGCTTGTGAGTTATTTTTTGCCAGTGGTGTTCTTTTTTGTTTCTTTCAAACCCATCACAGGCATTCTGCAGACCTGTATCGACACCAAAAGGTCCAGATGGATCAGTACCTTGAGTGTGTGGGCATTTCTGATTTCCCGTATTGTCGGCCGATTACTCCCAGGAGAACGCTACAGAGAAGTCATTGATGAATGTCTCTGGGAGCAGCTGGCACTGAGTCAATCGAAAATGTTGTCGGCATTTGCCGGACGCAGCAATGCCTTTGAGAGTCGTATTGCTTCCTCCTCTGCCTCATAAGTGTAGAGGTCCCTCCCCCACCGCGAGTATCATGGGTCCCGCCCCTTGTGTTATTCTAAACTGCTACATGAAATTCTAAATTGATTCCCAAGTTTAAACCCATGCCACCTCCAGCAAAACAATGCTAAAACAGAGGCTGAAATCCTATGCATACTTATTTGGGACTTCAGTGAGACCTGAGTACAAGTATCACTTATTTATTGGATTTCTAGACCACCCTTCCCCAGATAGGGCTCAGGGTGGTTTACAACATTAAATGAATAAATCATTCATGTATAACTTGTATCAGTTAAAAAGAAAGGACTACTGTTGGAGAAAGGATCCGGACAACTGGTCAGAAACAATAAAGCTTTTCTTGTATGCTTAGCGAACAATCCTATAGCTTCCAGTGAGAGACCAAAGTTTTTACTTCAGAGCTTGTGGAAGTAACTTATTAAACCTGCTACCACACAAGACAATAAAAAGTCTACTGTTGTTTTGACCCTGCCATATTTTGTAAAACAAGGAGTATCAAACAATTAAACATACACTTTTTTTTTTCAAAGTTCAAATTTTATTAGTATTTCAACTTTATTTTATTGTTACAAAGATGAAGATGAACAAGGCTAATGGACTGATGATTCATTATGAAGTCAGAAGCTTGGGGCTTTACTTTTTTTGACTATGTGTGGCGCTTCACTGCATCTTCTCTCCAAATAGCAGCCATTCCCTTCTGCTACCCGTCTCTTAGAATGTTGTTCACAGAGAATTTATTTTCCCCCAACGTATCACTTTGAAAGCAGTGTGTTAAAATCATTTGTTCAAGCAGTGTGTTAAAAGCACTATCTTCCTGATCAGAAGCATCTGACCCTGGTCTTCCAGTGCAAATGGTGCAGGCAGAAAAATCAAGGATGAGGCAAATGTGGGCACAGAGATTTCTAGCCCTTACTTTTGATGTGAGAACACAATATTTTCCAAAACACTAAAAAAGTCATTATACAAATACCAGTATAACAAAATACCAGTATAACAAAACTTGAAGCCTAAGTATCAAAAACTCCAGTACAGGTTATTTCTTTTTCCCTTTTGAAGACTTTGTAAATAAAGCAGGGTCAATCTCGCTTCTAGTCAGACCTCTCACTGAGAAAAGCCTTGCTGCTCTTTCCTGTAATGTGCCCCCACATTTTAGTCCCAAAGCCATCAGTTCAAGTTTCAGCTTTTCTAACCCAAGGGCTTCCAGTTCAGTTACAGAGTGGAATTCCAGCAGATTTATTGTTGCAGTTTCGCAGTCTTGTAGCTGACTCACAGCTTGCTGAGATTTTGAGGTATCTGCTTGCTCTCGTTCCGTCAGGGTCTGGGCTGCTTCACAGTTCTCATCAGCAGCAGTTCCACTGCTAGGCAACTCCTCTACCAGATCTTTCCCAGCAGGCTCCATTTCCTCTTGTGACTTCTCTGCAGTGTCAGAGACTGAACTGCAACTTATGGAATCCTCTGAACCACAAGGCCACTGTCCTGTGCTTGGAGCCATTTTGAAATGGTCGCTAGTTGAAGCCTTGCAACCTCCTGATGTAATAGGGGCTTCATCACCTTCACTGTCACTGCTGTCTAGAGACCTATCAGGGTCTTCCAATCCTTCCATCCCCAGCCAAAGACATCTTTTCTTCTCAGGTGTTGCCCCATTTCCAGACGCCTTTGGGCGCTTTCGATTTTCAGTGCTTACCGGTGACACCATCTTGCTAGAAGATGCTTGCATTCCTTTAAGGACAGAGTCCTCCAGCCTCTCTGCCATCTCATGACACTGCTGCTGATAGTCTGGATTAGTGAAAAAGTGCTTTGGCTCAGCAAGTTTGCGTTTCAGCCTTTCTAGGCGCCTTTGCTCCTTTTCTGCTTCACGTTCTGCTTGCTGCTTCACCCATTCAGCCATTGCTTTTTCTTGGTTGACATCTCGAAGCCTCCTTCCACTAAGATCTCTGCAAGCTTCTCGGTTGGTTGTTTTTTCAATCTGAGCACCAAGTGCTCGCAGCATAGATCCAAAACCTCCCTTTCCACCACACAGTCTGGGTTCCAGACTGTAGACAGCTCCATCCTGCAGTACATCTTCAGAATTAACACATCGGCCATTACACTTGACATAGAAGTGGTCTTTTTCAAATCCCCAGTGCCTCGCAACGGGCGCACAGCAAACTCCGCACTGAACCATCTCCAGTCGGTAGCAACACCAACTCCGCTCTAGAAGCCAACGGATCCCTCACTAGCAGCGCCATTTCTGTCTTCTGCTCGTTTCTTTTACGGAAGAACGCAAGCGACACCAAGCCAGTGACACCGGCGCGCACTATTGACGCAAGGAAACAAACAGGAAGTAGGACATTAGCAGATCTACTAATCTACTAAAAAAAAACATACACCTTAACATTTTTCGTACTCATCTTCTGAAATATGGAACCAATTCATTGCAAAAGATCACACAATCCTAACAGATGAACAACATTCCAAATAAAACCCAGAATCTCAAAAGCAGCCATTACAGGCCTACGGAGCCTCTTCCATCACAGACTGCAGCCACTACCCCATCTAGTCCCACTCCATCACTATGTCTTTTTCCAGTCCTCACCAGCTCCCCACAGTTACACTTCTCTGCTTTGGAGGGAAGCCAGCATGGCATAGCCTGATTTCATCAGATCTCAGAAGCTAAACAGGGTCAGTATTTGGAAGGGAGACCTCCGAGGAAGACTCTGAAGAGGAAGGCAATGGCAAACTATTCTGCTCTTGCTTCTTGCTTAACTTGAAAGCCCCTTGCTAGGATTGCCCTACGTCGGCTGCAGCTTGGCAGCACTTTACACACACGTGACAGTGTTTTTATAGCAGTACCACAGTGACATATCGTAGCCAGAACTAGAGGACCTGCAACCACTGGAAGCAGGAAGTGCACAGAACAGGCCTGGCAAGGCATGACAGGAGAGACAGGATGGCTTTATATTTTAACGTAGTAACACTGGCATCATATAGTTAAATACTTCCAGTAAATACACATTTTATCTCAGAGTGTAAGCATGTTTACTCCATTTCTATACGCACTTACTAGAGTGCAAACCCCTACAAAGTCAGTGTGACTTATTCTTAATTCAACATGAGCAGGTTGGTCTCAGCCCCAACTACTTGAGAGTTAACGCTTAACTCAGGGGACCTTCCTTTTGAATAAGCATCTAGGAGACTGGGATGCTAGGATGCAGCCCCCGCATAATCTCAAAAGGCAACGTACTAAAACTAAGGACAGCGATTGCCCATAGGGAATACATGAGTGCCTATAGAGAATAATGGAGAGTAGGCTTGCCTAGAGGGGATAGTGCAGTACATAATTGCCAACAGAGAATCCAAAATTGCCAATAGAGAATCCATGACTGCCCATAGAGAATAATGGAGAGGTTGCTTGCCCATAGGGGATAATGGAGTACATAATTGCCAATAGAGAATCCATGACTGCCCATAAGGAATAATTGAGAGGACGCTTGCCCATGGGGGATAATGGAGTACATAACTGCCAATACAGAATCCATGATTGCTCATAGGGACATAATTGCCAACAGAGAATCCATGATTGCCCAAAAGCAAGATTTTAGGGGCTCTATTAAAAACTTATGGCCGCTGTCGGCGGCAGCTGCAACGGCCACCGGGGGGGGGGGGGGGAAACGTTCGCCCTAAGGGGTAAGCGCTAGGCCGTAAGGCTCTCCTTCGTCCATCTTACCTGGCGTCTTCCACGAGCTACTGGGAGGAGTTTCCCCCACCACGTTCATGAGTCACCAGGAGACAGACTCTGCTTCCCTTCAACAACAAACCAACGCTGTCACTACGCCTACCGCTGCGTTCAACTTAAACGTCATAAAACTGACATTGGGCGACCACCAATCGGGTAACCCATGAGGCCGACTCTTTGAGCAATCTCTACCAATAGGCCCCGGAGGGGGCGGAGCATCCGCCTGGAAACTAGGAAACGGAACAAGGTGACTGGCTTTCTCCGGAAGTTGGAGCACAGGTTTGTTGTTGACGAGTTTTCAAGTCGGCGGTCTCCGCTTTGGAGTGTGGGGTTCGTCGCGGGTGATTTCGCCATGGTGTGCGAGAAGTGTAAGTTACTCGCACGTTAGAGGGGTAGGAGGCAGAAGGAACGGGGGTCCTTTGGGGGTGGGCGTGACGTAATAAGGGGCGGATGCTGTTGAAAGAATCGGAGGAATTTTCTTTAAGAGAAGTAGTCGTTAAACGCTTCTCTTGACGCGTTGACCCACCCCCCACGGTAGTCTCCTATGTCTCTGAATGATGAAGTGCTCCTGCTTTGGTTCCTAGGGTTGTCAACTGAGTTCCGAAGTTCCTGGAGATTTTGGGAGTGTAGTCTGGAGGAGGCGGGGTTGGGGAGGGGAGGTACCTTGACAGCGTATAAAGAGTCCACCTCCCAAGGTGGCCATTTTCTCCAGGTGAGCTAATCTTGATCGCCTGGAGTTCAGTTGTAATCCCAGGTGGTCTCCAGCTACCACCTGGAGGTTGGCAACCCTACTTTGCAGTCACCCTCTGTTGTGGACAAAACGATTCTGCTTGGTCTCTGTATTAAGTGGGCCTGGTACAGTCTGTTGTTCTAGATCCAGAAGTGTAGGAGTCCTAGAGGAGCTTGCCCATTGCAGCCATTTCTGAATCACTGTTTTGAACTTGACTCTTTTGAATCATCCCCTGCTGGAGTGAGAGATAACTGAGCCACTTATGTCTCTGAACAGAATTCAAACCCACTGCACTTCTGCAATTCAGAGTCAGGCATGTCCAAATCAGTAACTCATGCAGAATCATAAAGACACAGGCTCCTCTGAGGGCAAGCAATTCTTTCACATTCTAAAAGTAAACCCTTTTGAATGGTTGTTTCCCATTTTAATTCAAGGAAGGGAGGGAAAGGCTATGCAGAATTTAGGAAACTATGCCACAGAGAATGTTGAGGAAGGAGAGGCCACTAATGTGAGATAGAGTAGGGTGGAATTGTTATAGTGGTGCAAGAGAGGTGAGATGGGGAGAACTTTTTGTTTCCAGGTGGACTGAGTGTTAATGCTCAGCAGTGGTAGGGCCAGTTGACCTATTGGGCTGTTACGTATCTGCAATAATGGTTAGTACTTATATAGTTATTTTTTAGGTTATTCAAAGTTATCAAGGTTGGTGACTCTTGTTCTCACCATATCATATATGAGGGGCTAGGACAGAGTACTTTGCCTAAGGCCACCTAGTTAATTCATTGTAGAGAAAAGATCCTGGGAGGGTTTTGATGTATGACTCAATCTCTTAGTTACTGTGCTGTACCAGCTCTCAAAAAACTATTAGAAATTCAGAGGTGGGAATTGAACCTACAGTTATAGAGAGACAAACTTGAGAGCAGTGATGGTTTAAGCCATTCTCTGTTTGACGCACACACAGACACTTCTGTGGCATTTGACTGATGCTGCCTCTTTTTGGTTAATGTTTGTACATTTATTAGAATGTTTATACCTCACCTTTCCTGTTGGGCCAAGGCAGCTTGAAAATAATAACAAAAACATAACAGATTAAAACCAAATGATCTCCTTCCCTTCTACTACTTATACCTTCTCAAAAACTCTGGCAAACAAGCCAAGCCCTGCAGCTGCTCCTAAGCATATCTAACAAGGAGGTTCTCTCAGTAATGTTTACATATTAAGTTATAACATTATTCACAGTGTAAGTTCTTCATATACAGCTCTAAATGGAGGCAGGTTAGTTGTGAGCTCCTGAAAATAGATACTATTTGGGGTGTGGCATACAAAGGATACACTAAGATTTGATTCTCTGTGAGACAGATGCTAAACCCACGGTTTATCTTCTTGAATCTTTGATAAGCAGCCATTATGCAGAGCAAGTGTGACTCACTTGTAAACCATATTGGCATAAAATACTGAAGAGCTTACCTTGTTCTAAAAAATCAGATTTTAATAGTTAGAGGCTGGTTCATCCACAGTATATTTTTCATCCACGTGACCAGTCTTGGTTTTTTCTGGGTAAAAGATGGCAGCAGGCATTCCTTTGATAACCAAAGAGGGAGAAAATGCAGATATGATCATAGGAATTTCTGCTGATTGTATCTTTTGCTTAGATCTGCATAGCCTACTCTAAAACATCATAATCTACAGATGTCTCCTTTTTTAAAAAAAAATTCACAATCTTATGTATGTCCTCTGTTCCACTTAATCAGTGTTTATGCAGTCTTATGATTTAGAGTCATCTGCGTTTACTAAAGTAAGCCCTACTCTGATCATTAGAGTTTATGCTTAGGTAATTAAGCGTTCCGTGCGCCTTGGTGTTTAGTCATGCCGGCCACATGACCACGGAAATGTCTTCGGACAGCGCTGGCTCTTCGGCTTGGAAACGGAGATCAGCACCGCAACCCTAGAGTCGGATACGACTGGCTTCGATCAAGGGAACCTTTACCTTTAATAATTAAGCGTAGGACTGCAGATTTAGTGTTGTATGCATGTTTCCTTCTAACTAAGGTTTCTTTCTAACTAAGCAAGTGTGGGATCAGCATTATGCATAGATGTCTTTCAGTGCTTTGGAAGGGGAAAAAAGCATTGTTTTCACTGGAAGGCTTAGGACTGGAGCAGTCAATTTGTATAAAAAGTTGGTTTGTGTTCCTAATGTTTAGATAGCAGACTTGTTTTTGCTAGTGGGCGTAATAAAATCTGTTACTTACTGTGAGTATATTATGTTCCTAAGGAATGGACTTTTATTACTTCTGTATTTCTGTGCTGCTTCACAGGTGAGAAGAAACTTGGCACTGTAATTACACCTGATACATGGAAAGATGGTGCACGAAACACTACAGGTATTTTTAAACATATCTATTGCTACAGTGTTTGTGGCTTATATATATTAGGAAAGTTTTGTGTTTGCTACTGAGATCCATAAGCCTGAAAAACGGTGGTTGGTATTTAGATTTTTACTTTAAAATGCTTTTCTTCAGTATCTTAACCTATTGCATGATATCAGTACTCAAGTTCCACTCCTTGTATATGATTGCCTAGTTTGTTGTGTAGTTCCTGAATTTTTATGCACAATAAAGCCCTTGCTGCTGAAAGACAATCATATATGTGTGTAGATCCCAGGTTAGCTTTATACCTGCTCTTAACACTGAGGGAAAGTGTATAGGAACTCTAGTTGAAAACAATGTACTTATGAAGCTTGTTTAAAATAATCTGTGTAATTTCATATATGGAAATCAATGAACCTACTTTAAAGCACCTTGCAATTTCAGCAGTATGTATAGAGTTTACTGGCTTATCCATAGAACTCTGCCACTATTTCTCAATCTTTTGATGCATAAGGAACAAATTTTCTTTTGTGGTTAAAATTGGAGTTTCATATTATATTTGAGCAGCTCAAAGACCCATGTCAACAGTTAGAAAACCCACTTAATATTGCCTTGCAATGTCCTGCCTTCCATATGCCCAGTCAACTGGATTCATGGATTGTAGGACAACGATGATGCTCCTGGATAATGAAGGGAAGGATCCATAGCTTGGTTGAATACAGTTACACTACAGTTTGGTGTAGTGGTTAGGAGTGTGGACTCTAATCTGGGAGAACTGGGTTTGATTCTCCACTGCTCCACGTGCAGCTGCTGGGGTGACCTTCGATCAGTCATCAGTTCTTTCAGAGCTGTTCTCTCACGAGCAGTTTTCAAAAGAGCACTCTCAGCCCCACCTACCTCACAGGGTTTCTGTTGTGGGGAGAGGAAGGGAAGGTGATTGATTGTAAGCTGCTCTGAGACTCCAAGTGAAGGACGGGGTATAAATCCAATCTCTTCCTCCTCCTTAAACCGATATATCTGGGAAAGGTTCTGGCTGAGAAGCTGTTGCTGATCAGAGCAAATAGTACAGGGCTAGGTGGACTACTGGTGTGACTAGATATAAGGCAGCTTCATACATCCATGTGTGACATTTCTAGGATTCCCTTGTGCGCATCTATAGTGCAGGCTGATCATGGTCTATTTGTATTATTTCCTTTGGGTTGCTGTTGCTGCTCATATGGTGGCAGAAACTAACACTAAGTGCCATACCAAGCTCCATCCAGGCATAAAATGGTGGATGCAACTGACATTGTGGTTTAAATTTTCAAGAAATGCTTTGGCTCCTCTTGTTCTGCATTTTCATCTGACTGTATACTCAGTTTCATGTTCCTGTTACTTTCTGTAGCTTTACGGGGTCAATAAATCTCTGAGTTTCATCTAAGCCTGTGGTTATAGGTCACTTGTGTATGGTTCTTCTGATTGCTGGTCTTGTTGAGGGTCCACCACTACCCAGAACCCTTAATTTAGCTGGATATTGGCAGCAAATTTATTTATTTTATTCAATTTGTATTCTGCCCTCCCCACAAGTGGGCTCAGGGCAGACCATAGTAAGATTCTAAAACACATAAATAGAACTTTACAGAATAATTAAAAACAATTAAAAACACAAAACAGGTCACACTGTTTCACTATATACATTATTTTCAAGATGGCGCCATTGGGTCTCTGAGATCTTATTGATCCAGGCTGCGTTGAGATGGTAGGCTTCTCAACAGGCAGCCGGTCGGATGTTGGGCGGCCGGTCGGACTCCAACCCAGAAGATCTGAACCAGGCATTGCAAGCCATGGCTGGTTGGCTTAGACTGAGTTGGTTGAAACTAAACCCAGCGAAGACGGAGGTCCTGTGCCTGAGCCAGAGCTGTCTGGGGATGGGGCTCCCTCTCCCGACCTTCGCCGGGTTGCCTTTGGTGCCCACGTTGGAGGTTAGGAGTTTGGGAATGCTACTGGATCCCTCCTTAACCATGGAGGTCCAGGTGGCAGCCACTGCCAGATCAGCCTTTTATCATCTTCGACTGGTTCGGCAGTTGGTCCCCTTCCTCGACCACGACAGCCTGGCTACGGTGATCCATGCGACGGTTACCTCGAGATTAGACTAGCTCTCTACATGGGGCTGCCTTTGTTGCAAATCCAGAAGCTGCAGTTAGTGCAGAATGCTGCGGCCAGGCTTCTGATGGGTCTCCCTAGATGGGAGCACATCCGACCTGTGCTGAAAGCGCTGCACTGGCTGCCTGTAGCTTTCCAAATTCGCTTCAAAGGGCTGGTACTTACCTTTAAAGCCCTATATGGCCAGGGTCCGACATACCTGAGGGATCGTCTTTCCCCATACATACCCCAGAGAGCACTACGGTCGGGGGCCCCACATCGATTAATGATTCCAGGGGCCCCAGGGACGCCAGGTTTGTGGCGGCCAGGGCTTCTCAGTGGCGGCTCCTACCTGGTGGAGTGAGCTCCCGGAGGAGATCAGGGCCCTACGGGATTTCTCACAGTTCCACAGGGCCTGCAAGACGGAGCTCTTTTGCCAGGCTTTCAATTAGGAGCCGCCACCATCACCACCACCAACTACCTCATGGGAACATGGGGTATTGGGATGGGCCATTACAAGATTGAGCCACAGTGCTTTGACTGACTGTACCGCCGAATCGAGCTTGGAGCTTCATCTACAGGCTACCATCTTGCTTTAACTGAATCTCTCCTTATATATAATTGAACTAGCAGTAAAGCCCGTTGTGAAAGCAATACAACGGGATCTAGAAAGAGGCTCTGGGGCAGTGCTCTGGCTTTGGGCAAACAGTGTCAATTTGCTGTGGTGACCTCAGCAGGGTATAATGACAGAGTCCACTGTTTTCTCCAGAGGAACTGATCTCTGCTACCTGAAGAGCAGTTGTAATTGTGAGTAATCTGTAGCCCTCACCTGGAGATTGGCAACAATTGTTACCCAGGACAAAATGGCTGGTTTGGAGGGTGGAGTCTATGGCATTCTACCTGTCTGAGGTCCCACCCCTCTGCAAACCCCACCCTCTCCAGGCTCCACCCCTCAAATCCCCAGGAATTTGTCAGCATGTAGTTGGCAACCCCATCTCCTTCCCAGCTAGCCACCAACCTACCATTATCTGCCCCTTTGACTTCAGCTGACTTCTGCCCTCCCTTCTGCAGAGCAGTTGTAATACTGAGTGCTCTCCAGCCCTCACCTGGAGATTGGCAACAATGGTTCCCTATGTGAGACTGACTGGTTTGGAGGGTGGAGTCTATGGCAGTGTACCTGTCTGAGGTCCCACCCCTCCTCAAACCTCACCCTCTTCAGGCTCCATCCCTCAAATCTCCAGGAATTTCCCATCTGGAGTTGGCAACCCTATCAGGACTGGCCCCAATGTGTTTTCTCCCAAAGGCCAAAGTAGGTGACAGGACCAAGCTTAGTTGCCTACCAACAGGCACTGAGGGGAATGTAGGGTTGCCAGCTCTAAGGAGGGAAATACCTGGAGGTTTGGGGGGTGGATTCTGTAGAGGGCCGGGCGACGGAGGCATCGGCCTTCTGTCGCCCGCCTTGCCCCCCCAATCTCGGCCCGGGCACCCGCGGCTCCCACCAGCGGCCGCCCGACTCCAGACTCCCCCGCGGCCACTCCAGCCAGGCGACGGAGGCATCGGC